GCTAATCATTCAAACCCGTGTCTAAGACCTTCAGACAAGCTAGTGATGAAACCCATCCTGTGAGCTCTAGCATTTAGAGGATACCGTCATAGTGAAGAGATGATAGGGCCAAGCGTTTGAGTATGCACATCTTTTGCATCAAAATGGTCATGACCCCACTGGTCGAGAGCGAGTGATTCATTCCTCATGCTTTGTTCTTATCATGTATCCTAGTGAGGATCTAGTTTGCTTGATCGTTTGTTCATAGGACTTGATCTTTATGCATGGATAACTGTGGTTGGTGAGTGGTCATGACAAGTTATGTTTTGGTTTGTGAACAATGTGAGAACTCTTCCTTTCAACGATTCTATTGCACTCGAATGTCATTTCTGGTGGTTGTTAGGATTATTGTTGTTGCCCCAAAAATTTTGTAGAAAAAGAAGTTGTGAGCTTACCTTGTTATGTACTTAGTTTGTTTGGGGACAAGCAAACATTCCAGTGTGAGGGCGCGATTCGGGCATAATTACACATATTTTACCCCTCATATCTTGATTGTTTGACTTGGTTATCGTCTTCCCTCGACCTATTTTATGCTAGGTTGTGCTTCTTTTATCACATTTTAGGTCCTAGTTTCGGGTCATTTGGAGGTCAAAACGAGTCGAAAATGGAGGTTGTGCAATGTTCACGGTCAGGAGGCAAATGTCAATCCCAGAGGGAATGAAAATCTCCCCTAGGGAGTGAAGTGCAAGATTTTAAGGGCAACACTCGTTTTTCATGGAATTATCAAATCTACCAATCTCCCTTCTCCCTTCCCTCTGTCGAGTTCCCTTCTCCCTTTCTCTCTCACACGACTGACCCTTCCTCTCACTTCTGCTCCCTTCATCAAACCATTCAAACCACCACCTAAATCCTCCATACATGCATAACTTACCTTTCTTCTTGTTGATGTGACTTGAATCGGACTATCAGCCGCTACGACTGGTAATCGGGGGTCTCGTTGCCCAGTCAGCGAGTGGGGTCCAGGGGCAACGCCTCGGTGGGGGTGCGGGGGCAACGCCCCTGGCCCGCGGTGTATGGGCTCAATGTTATTTGGGTTCGGGTTCTGGGCCTGGTCTGTAACCGTTTCCTTTGCCAGATTGGATTAGGTTTAGACCCACATGGAGAAGTACTATAAATACTTCTCATACTCCTCTGTAATCTGTAATCTCCTCGATATAGTGAAACTAGCTCTCTCTCCCCCGTGGACGTAGCAAACACACATCGTGTTAGTGAACCACGTAAATCGTGTATATGTGTTTTTCGATTCTCGCTTTCGTATTCTTGCTTTATCGATTCTGGCGATTTCCCGATCCGTAGCAGCGCGTTTATAACAAGTGGTATTAGAGCCGCGGCTAGAAATCAGGCTAGGGTTTTCGATTCAGAAGAATGACGTCGGTGAACATGAAGATCGAAAAAGTTCACGAGGAAGAACAGCTTCGCTATATGGCAGATCAAGATGCAGGCTTTATTAAAACAGCAAGGGCAACAGAAGAAGGCAGCGGTCGATGACGATGAGTGGAATACCCTGGAGGAGAAGGCCCACTCGACCATCATGCTATCGTTGTCTGATGACATCATCATTGAAGTCGCTGCTGAGAAGACTGTCGCGGGCTTGTGGTTAAAGTTGGAGAGTCTGTATATGACGAAGTCCTTAACCAATAAGCTGCATCTCAAGCAAAGGTTGTTCAGCTTGAGGATGCAAGAAAGTACGCCTTTGAGGGAACATCTCGAACAACTTAACTCTATTTTGCTGGATCTGCGTAATATAGATGTTCAAGTTGATGACGAGGATGCTGCCCTAATCCTACTGGTTTCTTTGCCGAGCTCATATGAGAATTACGTTGATTCTTTTATTCCTGGTAAAGAAAGCGTGTCGTTGGAGGATGTCAGGTCTGCTCTTCATACGAGAGAGATCAGGCATAAGGCGTCCGGATCTGGTACATGTGGTGAGGCATCGGGTTTGGCTGTTACAGGTGGAAAGGGAAAGAAAAAATCTGGTAAAGGGAATTCGAGCAAGAATTCCAAGGGTCCCGGTCCATAACCAGGTGATTCTTGTCACAACTGTAAGGAAGTGGGGCATTGGAAGTACAACTGTCCCAAGAGAAGAGGGCAACAGAAGAAACAAGGTTCAGTTGCCGTGGCAGAAGTGGACAACAGTTCTGAAGACGATCTCGCCTTGGCTGTAGATGAGAAGGCACATCGTGGTGATGTGTGGTTTCTGGATACTGCAGCCTCATACCATATGTCTCCGAACAGGGATTTCTTCACAACCTACGAGCATATAGATGGTGGTAACGTGGTCATGGCTAATGGAGCTGTCTGCAAGGTTGTTGGAATCGGGTCCATAAAGGTTCGGACACATGATGGTTTGTTCTGTACCGTGAATGATGTCAGGCATGTTCCACGAATGACAAAGAACCTGATCTCTTTGAGTCTACTCGACAGCAAGGGCTTCAGCTTCAAAGGAAAAGGTGGAGTTGTGTATGTCTGCAAGGGTTCGAGGAAGCTACTGAAGGGCGTGAAGCGTGGGACCTTGTATGCATTACAAGGGTCTGTGTTGTCTGGTTCTGCTGCAGTTGCATCATCTCAGGTTCATCAGGAAGATATGACCACTCTCTGGCACATGAGACTGGGGCATATGAGTGAACGAGGGATGCAAGTTCTGTCGAAGAGGGATCTTCTTTGCGAGCACAAGGTGCAGAATTTGGAATTCTGCAAGCATTGTGTGTTTGGGCGCAGCAAGTTTCCCAAGAAGGGTATCCACCGGACGAAGGGGATACTGGACTACCTCCACTCCGACTGTTGGGGTCCTTCACGAGTTGAATCCATTGAAGTCAGCAAGTATTTTCTGTCTATTATTGATGATTATTCGAGATTTACTTGGATTTTCATGATGAAGCAGAAAAGTGAGGCTTTCACGAAGTTCAAGCAGTGGAAGACATTGGTGGAGAATCATACCGGGAAGAAGATCAAGAAGCTGCGAACGGACAATGGTCTGGATTTCTGTAATTCTGAGTTCAACGAATTCTGCAAGGATGAAGGGATTGCCCGTCATCGGACTGTTAGAGATATACCCCAGCAGAATGGCGTTGCAGAAAGGATGAACCAGACATTGTTGGAGAGAGCACGGTGCATGCTCTCTAATGCTGGACTAGAGAGAAGATTCTAGGCATAAGTAGTGAACATGGCGTGCTTCCTGATCAACCGTGGACCTCACACAGGTATCGAGTTGAAGACTCCTTATGAGGTGTGGTATGGTAAGCCTGCTGATTACTCTTCACTGAATGTTTTTGGGTGTCCTGTTTATTATCATGTGGATGAGGGTAAGCTGAACCGAAGGGCAAAGAAGGGTGTATTTGTGGGTTACGGAGATGGAGTTAAATGATTTCGATTCTGGTCACCTTCTGAGCATCGAGTTATACTCAGTAGAAATGTGATATTTGATGAGAAGTCTATGTTTAACCCCATGTTGAAGGTTACTGTTGTTGAAGGTAGCAGGAATGTTGATAAACAGGTGGAGCTGCAAACTCTCAAAGAGAGTGAGTTTGAGCACCAAGGTGGAGAAGATCAACATTATGAGGATGTCTCTGCAAAGCCAGAAACTTCAGAGTCCAGTGCACGAGCTCAACAGTCTATTGCTTCCGGTAGACCGAAGAGAGTGAATGCAGGAGTACCTCCAGAGAGGTATGGCTTCGAGGACATGGTGGCGTATTCATTTCAGGTTGCTGAGGAAGTGGATGCAGGAGAGCCACAGTCCTATAGAGAAGCAGTTTCGGGTGGTGAAGCTGATCAGTGGCTTGCCGCAATGGGAGATGAGATGGAATCCCATGACAGGAATCAGACTTGGGAGCTAGTCAAACGACCACAGGGAAGGAAGATTGTGACAAACAAGTAGATCTACAAGAAGAAGGAAGGAATCACTTCTAAAGAGGGCATGAAATTTAAAGCTCGGGTGGTTGCATGAGGCTTCTCGCAGAGGGAAGGAGTTGACTACAATGAGATTTTCTCACCAGTGGTCAGACATACTTCGATCAGAGTGCTACTAGCAATAGTGGCACATTATGACTTGGAGCTCGAGCAGCTAGACGTGAAGACAGCTTTCCTACATGGAGAGTTGGAGGAAGAAATTTACATGACTCAGCCAGAAGGATTCGAGGTTCCGGGAAAAGAAGACTATGTTTGTAAGCTGAAGAAGTCCTTGTATGGACTTAAGCAATCTCCGAGGCAGTGGTACAAGAGATTTGACAGTTACATGCTTGAGCTGGGCTACAACAGAAGTCCATATGATTGTTGTGTATATCCCAGCAAGGCAGAGGATGGTTCGATGATATATCTAGTTCTGTATGTGGATGATATGCTCATAGCTGCGAGGTCAAAGTCTGATATCCAGAAGTTAAAGGGGCTTCTCAGTGCCGAGTTTGAGATGAAGGATTTGGGAGCTGCTCAGAAGATCTTGGGTATGGAGATTTACAGAGACCGATCAAAGAAGAAGCTTTTCTTGTCACAGAAGAGCTACATCCAGAAGATACTGTCGAGGTTTGGCATGTCTTCAGCAAATACCTTGTTGGTGGTCGAGTGCGAGACCAATCGACTCTTCTCCTCCTTTTGATTACTTTCTTACAGCTGCAAGGAACCCTAATCGAACAAAGAAGATCAAGTGAAGATTCACGAAATACAAAAAGAGAATTGATAAAATAGGGTTAATTGCACCGTTGGTCACTGAGATTACAAAAAACGTTCATGTTTGGTCACTAGAAATATTTAAATCCATTTGTGGTACCTAACTTTACAAAAACCGTTCACTTATAGTCACTCTCCGTTAGCTGCCGTCCAACGCTGTTAATGGCGTCCGTTAAGTGATGACGTGGCTGACGAATTCACCTAATCATCACTTTTTAACCCGAAAATAGGCTGACCCGACCCGCCACATCATTTAAACCCGCCAGCTCATTTAAACCTAACCATGGAAGAAGAAACCATCCCACCACCACCTCCCACTTACACCCTCACTACCTCCTCAATCTCCTACTCCAAACAAACCTCCGCCGCCGCTGCCACATCATTCCTCTCCTTCCTCAACCCTTCTTCCACCACAACCACCACCACCATCATACTCAACCAAGTCACCTTCACTGCCTACCCGGCTGAGATCCTCGCCGTCGTCGGACAAATTCCTTCTAGTTTTCTTCTTCTTCTTCTTCTTCAACCCTTCAAAAACGGGCACGGTAACAATCCTTGACAAATCCATTCCCTTCATTTCCTTCTTAAATCCCAACCTCCATTCTTCTTCCCACCTAAACTCACATCATCAATTTCACACACAACCCAGAAAGCCCAAAAATGGCATCAGATCCCTTTTACCGTCTCCCAGACGAGCTCCTCAGCTCCGTGTTCACCAAAGTCGGCGAATCCGACGCCAAGTCACTCCTCCGCTGCCTCGGTGTCTGCCGGCGATTCGCTTCCCTCGCCGTCCGGACATCCCCCACCGCCGGCTCCTTCCTCCTCAACTCCACCCCATAATCAACTCCTCCTCCTTCCGCAAGCTCTCCGCTTACCTCCCTCAACATGATGCCTTCCTCCCCCTCCTCACCGTCGCCGAAACCTTCGCCTTCTCTGCCTGCCTCCTCTCCTCCATCGCCGCCGTTCACCGTTACCTTTTGCTTTCGCCCCTTTCGTGCATCTCAAAGTAGTGTTAGGGTTTTGGTGCGGAAATTGCATTTGGGGATTTGGAGATTAGGTATTATCTTGCTCCTGCAAAATGAGATTTGTTCGAAGGGATGAAGCAAGGGACTCCCTGAACACAAACCTTTTCCACTTGTGGAGATTAGGTATCTGAATCGCTAAATGTCGCCCTTAAAATTGCTAACGGTCGCCCTAACTCTAATGATAAATGACTTATATACCCCAATAAAATTTCAAAATTTAAACAAACCAAACAATCCCTAACCCCTCAAACTGAACCCCTCATCTGCCTTCTTCGCGAATCCCTCTCGCGCACCAGTTCGTCGGCGTATTTCCCGCCGCCGTCGTCGCCCGTTCTCTAACGAAATTTCCAAAAAAACGCTCAACCTAAGGCAAGTTACGGTTGGTCCATGGTGCAACCGCAACTCACTTGCGGTTGGTCCATGGTGCAACCGCAAGTGAGCTGCGGTTGGCCCATGGTGGAACCGCAAGTGCGGTTCTACCATGGGCCAACCGCAGCTCACTTGCGGTTGCACCATGGACCAACCGCAAGTGAGCTGCGGTTGGCCCATGGTGCAACTGCAAGTGAGCTGCGGTTGGCCCATGGTGCAACCGCAAATGAGCTACGGTTCCCTTTTTTTGTTTTTTTTCAATTTTGGAGTGAACTTTACCGATTCAGAGTCGCTAGTCATGATCCAAACATCATATCGACGATTCAAATTCCAGAATGACGATGATGGATTCTCTCTTTTGAATAATGTTTTATTTTTTTTTACTAAGTGGTGTTTGTTTGCTAAAGGAAGAGTAAAGAAGCTAAAAGGTTAAATTTGTAACTTTGATATTTTTTAGGGCGACATTTAGCAATTTTAAGGGGGACCTTTAGCAACTCCCATTAGGTATTATCTTGCAAAATGAGATTTGTTCGAAGGCGGCACGGGATGGAGAAGGGGAACATGATGAAGGGTTTTAGAAATTATGTTTTGTTTAGTGGCGGGTGGGTGGGTAGTTTAGTTGGTGGGTCGGGTCGGGTCTGGTTTGGTTAGAGGGTTGGTTAGGTTTAGATGAGTTGGGGGTTTAAATGACGTGGCGGGTCGGGTCAACTTATTTTTGGGTTAAAAAGTGCTGATTAGGCAAATCCGTCAGCCATGTCATCACTTAACGGACGCTATTAACGGCGTTGGACGGCAGCTAACGGAGAGTGACCATAAGTGAACGGTTTTTGTAAAGTTAGGTACCACAAATGGATTTAAATATTTATAGTGACCAAACATGAATGTTTTTTGTAATCTTAGTGACCAACAGTGCAATTAACCCGATAAAATAATATGTTCTTTATTTTGCCAGATGAAATGATCTATTCATAACTATATAGGGCTGGGCTTTGCTTCATTTACTTATTAGGTTTGTACCGCAAGATTAATGGGCTTGTTACCCCGAAGCCCGATCTTAGAACTGATGCTTCTTCTCTAAGAAGTTCCTCTGCACTTCACTTGCTTCTCTTTCAAGTGACCAGAAACAGATCAACACAAGCATAAACACAGCAAAGTAAAAGGAACAAGACTCAAGACCAAATTTTACGTGGTATCCGATATTGGGAGAAGAAGGATCCCAATATCGACTAATCCACGGCAAGAGATTCTCCTCTTGAGAACTCTTGCGTAACCACTAATGGTTTTACTCGATTCTTACAATATGATGAACACTCTTGATCAGCTCCCTGCTTAGCAAGATGTTCAATCCTCCTGTGTATCAACTCCCTGTCTACACACAGAACTACTGAGCAATTCTCCCTGATTTGCCACACACTGTTCTTCTATCTCAAGACTACTATTGACTCTCAATTCTGTAGCTTTGATTTTTCCCTGAAAAACATCGGTACTACAGTTTGGTGTGGCTCGCTTAATATACCCTTCTTTGTTGCCCGTTGGCCTTGATCTTCCTTGATTGATTTGATTTCCTTCATTCTTGGCGACTTTCCATGTTGGTAAGCTTCCTCTTTTGGTAAGGCTCAGAATCTCCAATACAGCTTGAAGTTTGAAATCTTTTAATCTATTCTGCCATTGACAGGCTTCCCACAACAAGCTCCCCCTAAGCTTGTCAATGGCTCACCCTGTTGCACTTGTTTTTCCCGCACACACTCAACACACAATTGGTGCAGTCTGTTCTATGCAAGGGAATAACAATAAGAGGGAAAGCTTCTCATTTTATTAATGACTTTCAGAATCTTCAAAGACATGACACAAGACATAATCAACGAACCTGACACTCAACCTTGAAAGGACAAACTTCAACACTCAACCTTGAAAAGACAAACTCAACTCTGCTAGACTATCATTGCTACGACACTAATGCTCCCCCTTAGTTCAACAACTGATCTTTTTAGAAGGGATAGCCAGGTGGAGTTTCATAGTCAGAGATATCATCTCCTGAACTATTGTCAGGAGATATTGGATCGAAGTTGTCTGGGGTGGGCATAGCCTCATCATCTTCCAAAAGCTCCAGACGCTCCTTGCACACTTGAAGTCTAGTTGTTGTCCCACTTCCAGCCTCCTTTCCTCGTCCGATTTCAAAGTCAAGTGCAGATACTGCAGCTTGTGTCAGGCCTGACACGAAGCCATCAGTAGAGCTTTGTCAGAGAAGACAAGGCAACTGACATCTCCCCCTGAGCCAGAGAGAAGCTGACGGCGCCCAACATCAGCATTAAGACGATTACGAACATGATTGGGACGTAGATCATCATGAATGTTGCAGACAACGACTTTATCTCGAAGATCAATGCCGAGACGGTAGAGGTAGCGGGTGATATGTGGACCAAAGGGAAGTGGACCACTATAACCACCATTACCGAAGCTAATCATGTGAGCAAAAACGAGAGAGGCATAGCTGATGGGTGAGCGAGAACGAGCATTAGCCATAATCCAGAGATCAGAAGTGTGGAGAATGTCAGTGCTGGAGATATCTCTGGGAAGAAGACAGCGGGTAAGGAAGAAATGGAGAACTTTCAGATCGTCAGGCAAGCGACCCACAGCGAGCATGGTGGGGAAGGCACGGCCAATATCACTAGTGAGCTCATTCAGGGCAGACCCAAAGTCAAACCCAAAATCTGCAAATTCATCGTCAAAGCCAGCCTGATAACCTCGATGAGGCAGAGAGAGAACTGATGCAAGCAGGTCTAGGGTGACTGTGATCTCATGATCATAGACCAAAGTGGTGAAGGACTTTGGTTCAGCACCACGCCCTTGTCGAAGATTGACATAGAAGAGGTGAACCGCCTCAGGACAATGAAGAAATCGTTGGTCTTTGTGAAGCCAGACCAACCGAGGCCACTCAGAAGAGATGGGATATCCATATCGTACTTGGAAAAGGCTGAGTGACTGATAGTGAAGGATGGATAGATGGGGCGATTTCGAAAGCACCGAAGGTACCTGGAGTACAAAATAGCACTCCGGAACCCTTGATTCTTGAAAACAACAGCAGTCCAAAGTTGAGCATTGTTTGAGGTCATTTTGCTTTGGGAAAGGGAGGTTTAGGGCAAGAGGTCTGAAGTGATTGATGCAGACGAGTGAGAGAGGGCTTAAATACAGATGAATGAAGCAAGTATAGTAATGCCTCTCTTATGCCAGCCATACACAATTGATTTTTCGTGATAGATCGGAGTGGGGGACACATGGAAAGGATCTGAAAAGAAAAGGAAGGTGAGATCTTTCAGAGAGGAATCATAGAATCCTAGGAGATTTCTTCTATGTCTTCGAGAGAGAATAAGCCAAGTTCACGTCGAATTGGGAGGAACTTGTCAGATGACTGGCCGTGAGATACAATAAAGATCTGATCATGCCTCTGAATCTTTTACTGTCCACAGATTTTCCAGATTCATCCTTTGTTAGTTTGACAGTAGACCCCATTGGTGTTGAAGCAGTTTTTAGATTCTCAAGGCCAAACCGTTTTAACATGTTATTGAGATACTTAGATTGACTGATGAATATCCCATGATTGGTTTGTTTTACTTGTAGACCTAGAAAATAGTTTAATTCACCCATGAGACTCATTTCGAATGCATTTTTCATGTCATTTTCGAATTCAGAGCACAATTGAGGACTTGTGGAGCCAAAAATAATGTCATCCACATACACTTGAACCAGAAGAGTATCCTTATCTACATTTTTTATAAAAAGAGTTTTATCAACCTTACCTTGTCGAAATCCTTTCTCAATCAAAAAGTTGCTTAGTTTTTCATACCACATCCTAGGAGCTTGTTTTAATCCACACAAAGCCTTATTTAATTTATATACATAGTCTGGATGTTCAGGATCTTCAAAACCAGGTGGCGGGGATACATAAACTTCCTCTTTTAGATCACCATTTAAAAATGCACTCTTAACATCCATTTGGTATAGTTTAAAACCCCTAGAAGCAGCATATGCACATAATAGTCTAATGGCTTCTAACCTAGCTACAGGAGCAAAAGTTTCATCGAAGTCGATTCCTTCTTCTTGACAGTATCCCTGAGCTACTAATCGAGCTTTGTTCCTAACAATGATCCCAATTTCATCTGTTTTATTTCGAAAAACCCATTTTGTCCCAAGAATTATTCTATCTTTTGGTCTAGGCACCAAGTCCCAGACCCTGGTTCTGGCAAACTGATTAAGTTCATCATGCATAGCCATAGACCAGAATTCATCTTTTAATGCATCATCAATATTTTTTGGCTCAACTTGTGAGACAAATGCAGAATGCTCAACTGAATGCATGGATCTAGTAAGCATACCTTGTTTCAGATTGCCAATGACAAGAGATGGAGGATGTCTGCGTCTGATGTGAGGTGGTGCTTGAGGTTCACTCCTTTCCTCTTGTTCATTCTCTGTTGTGTTAGTGACTGCTACCTTTTCT